CGTAAGACTTTTGGGTTTCCATCATCTTTGAAAATGATTGATGAAGTCTCTAACGATTGTTACAGAATCGCAGATATGTTCGCAGCCTTTTTCGAATCTAATTATGGGCCGAACATAAGTTCAATCCTGCAGCCATTTATTTGCACTTACTTAATGTCTTCTTTTGATTGCGTAAAAGTAACACATATATCCTGTGATGTTGCTTATCACCATCTAAATGCCCTTAAGACCTCATTCATGTACGGTCCAGATAATATCCCTACAAATGTTCTTCAATTTTGTGCTGAATCTCTATATAATTTATTCCCTTCTTTGTGGAAAGAGTCATACATTGTACCTCTACATAAATCAGGTAGTAGATCTTCAATAGGGAATTACAGAGGGATAGCAAAATTATGTTCTTGCCCATTCAGTGTCATCAATTATAGACATCTTACAACATGGGTTTTGCAAAGGTAAATCTACCCTTTCGAACCTGTTAGAGTTCACCACCTACGTCAGTAATGGTTTCATAAGTGGTTATCAAACAGATGTTATCTACACTAACTTCAGCAAGATATTTGACAAGGTCTCCCATCCTTTCATTTCGGGTTTCCACCTTCTCTTCTAAAGTGGATTTCATCGTACTTGATTGGTAGCAAACAAAACGTAATTTTTTAAAATTGTACATCAAGTGAAGTAGTAGTAACATCTGGTGTTCCTGGTACAGTCACCTCGGTCTTTTACTCTTCCTTATATTCATCAGAGACCTTCCAAATGTTGTTCTTCATTCTAAAATACTAATGTACGCAGATGATGTCAAGCTCTTTAAATCAGTTCATTCTATTGAAGATAGCAAGCTTTTGGAGCTTGACATAAATAACTTAGCGATGCGACCTGTATGTCCTTTAATTTAAATAAGAGCAAATAAATGTGTTTCTCCAGAAAATCTTTCCAATCCTTTGTCTATATGATACATAATCACAGTTATGAACAAGTTACTCGCTTCATTGATTTAGGTGTCACAATGGACCCTAAGCTAGATTTTACAAATCATACAAATGCTTGTGCTAATAAGGCAAAAAGAGTTTTAGCTTTCATTGAACGTTGGGCTAAGGAATTCAAGGACCCATACATTACCAAATTACTCTTTATCTCACTTGTTAGGCCCATTTTGGAATAGGGCTCAGTCGTATGGAGTCCGTACTAACAATTGTATAGTGATTAATTGGAATCTCTTCAAAAACAATTCCTATTATTCGCGTTAAGAAATTTAAGGTGGGATGCGAACAAGAGCCTGCCTTCTCACAAAAGTCGTTTACGGCTCATTAATCTATCTACACCGCATAGTCGTAGAAAGATGCTTGGAGCTTTATTTTTAACCACCTTATCTTTACCACCTCGTTAAGATCATCTAGACACTTTAGGCCCCTTTCATTGGGCTCGTGCAGAACAATCTTTGAAATGCACGACCCTTTTAGATCTTTGTGTAACGATTTCCCCAACATTGATTCCTCTGACTCCCTTTTCTGTATCAAAATCTACTTAATAAGTGCTTTAAATAATTTAACAAATTCCCTCTTCTTTTCCCCATGCAATTTTATAGCAGCTGATGAACAAATCTGTAGCTGTTTAGTGTAAGAGACAAGTGTAACCGCGACCTTCCGCAATCGGTTTCAGGTTCAGGGCAGTCCGGTTACTGGTTTTCGGTCACCGGTCTGTTCGATTTCCCGCAGACGCGCCCCTCGGTCGGTTGGGTGGGAGGCGGGTAACGCTGGGTTCGTAAGTAATTCCTTAGCGTACGCTATGACAATTGTCAGTTTAATTAATTATGCAGAATAGACATATTGTATCCAAGTGAGAGAAAAAATAACTCTCAGAACGAAAATGGTTAATTTTTAGTACAAATGCGATCTCACTCATTAAGAGACTCTTATGTTTGAAAACATTTTATTAGTTCAATAAAATAATTCACATTCAGACTTGAACTATCTACATATGCATATTTTATTATTACTTTAATGTGTTAGTATAATCTAGTATAATTAAAAAAAAATGACAAAAATTAGCTAGGAATTTTTCCTGAACTTTTGATTTATGTACTCCGACAAAATGATATCAGCAAAATTTATCAACCTACATGTTGATATTTTCGGGTTTTCCTAGCTAGATTTAGCTGCTTTTTTCACTGTTTAAGCTTAGTCTCCAGCTCTCAAGAAAAGTGAAAGCTCCATACAAAAACAAAAAATTTTCTGGTGTTAATTTTTTTTTAGGACAGTATGCAGCTCCGAAGAAATTCAGAAAGTTCTTTCACTACATTTTTTTTTATAAATATTGTATACGGCAACACAGGTTTAAATTTATTTCTCAAGGAAATTGAATAGAATCAGGAACTGAGTTTGTATTATTATTTGCATTTTATATTTTACTTGCTGACGTGAAGTTTTGTTTTTTGAAAAGAAAAGAAAGTTGAATTTATATTGTGTTGAAAATCATAAATTTACGATTTGTTTTTATTTTTTCAATATAACGCAGCTTGATAAAAAACATTTTTTGTTTTCTGTTCCGGTGCGTAAATGCACAGAGAAGATGGTTTTCCAACTCGTGAACACGCCACGTAAAGTTGGCCGTGTGAAAAACAGCATTTCCCGATTTATGCCCCACACTTCCAGCGACTGTCCTTGTGACCTATTGATTGTCAAATACTTGTTTTATTGGAAACTGAATACGTTAGAGCTGGCATGGCAAATCGTTGGAGCTCAAAAGGATTCGAGGAATCAAACATTCAGCCCCTTGTTAGCCACTTTTAAAATTCTTGCAACTATCACAATATTCCATATCTGCGTCACAATCGTCCACTTTTTTATTACAGTGATTATAATGTTCCAGCAATTGTAATAGCTGGCATGCTTCTCGAAAATTTGCACACAACGTCCCATTCACAACACAATTATTCAAATGAGGGATGCTTTTCCTTTATGGTTCCAGGCTTTGGGAAAAATGAATTATAGAGGGCGGCGTTCAGCAGCGCTTTTGATTGTAACCCTGGGCCGGATCAACACCGGCTTCGCCTAATTATTATTATGTCATTCCGTTCATGAAGTATAAAAAATGTGTTTTTAAATTATAATTGTGTACATATGCATGTATTTTTCATCATGTACGAGTGTATTAAATAAATGCACGTGCTAAGTCAAAACTCGTGATGAAAGTGTAAATTTATTAACAAAAAACTATTTATAATTCATAAACATTTACATGTTGATTATAATAGATAAACTTATTGGAACCATAACGGAAAGCACAGCCTCAAATGAAGTTAAACCGCGTACATTATGATTCCACTTTGGTGATTCACCGTACAGCAAAGACCGATATCGATTTTGAGATATCGCCCGTAATTTCAACAGTCGCTCTCGGGTCTTAGCGTCACTAACAAACAAACATTCATAAATTAAATAGATATATATATTCATATTATATAATAACCTTGTGGAATGTATGAAAATTTAATCATGGGATATCTTTTTATCATAACTTCCTTAACTCAATACTATTAACCTAAGCAAAATGACACCTAATGTCCAGTAAATCGGTCAATAAATACTACTTTTTTTTCGAATAAGTCAGTCCCTTGGTCCACTCCCGCAGGGAAGAAGAGTCGTCATGTTAATCTAAGAAAAATACTACCTATGACCAAATTTCAAGTAAATCGGACCGTAAATAATTTTCATGTATAAGTCAGTCACTGGCTCACTTTCCGGAAAGAAATGTAATCCTCTCGTTAAGCCAAGCAAAAAGACATCTTTGTACCGAATTTTGAATAAATAAATTCATAATAAAAAGTCAGCCGATTTCCGTAGAGAATAACAAACTTTTTTTTTAAGTCTAAGCAAAAAGCTAATTACGCACCGAATTTCAAGTAAATCGAGCAGTAAATAAGTTTTTTTTAAAGCCAGTCCTGCATTACTATACTTCCCAGTTTTAAGTAAGTTGAACCATAATGAAGAATTTTTGAATAGGACATTCTCCGGTCAAATTATCGGAAAGAAGTCAAGTCTTCCGATTAATCCAAGCAAAATACCACCTATGTACCGAATTTCAAGTAATTGAGACCGTAAAAATTGTTTCTCTGTAGCTCAGTCCCTGATTTCCTTTCCACAGAGAAGAGTAATTTTTTTGATACTCTAAGCAAAATGCCACCTGGGTACAGAGTTTCAAGTAAGTCCATCTTTAAAAATTTCTTTCCGGAGTGAATAAAATTTTTCCCATTAATCTAAGCAAACATACACTTACGTACCGACTTTCAAGTAATTCGATCCATAAAAAAGATTTTTTTGAATAGTGTAGCTCATGATCCCCTTCCTGAAGAGAAGTGTAGTCTTCCTGTTACATTAAGCAAAAATCTATCTATGTACCGATTTGTAAGTAATTCGTGGTATAAATAAACTTTTTTTCGAATAGGTCATGCCCTGGTCCACTTCCCGGGGAGAAGTGTGGTCTATCTGCTAATCTAAGCAAAAACACGCCAGTGTACCGATTTTCAAGAAATTCGATCCATAAAAATGATTCTTTTGAATAATAAAGTTCACGGCCACTTCCCGGATAGAAGTAAAGTCAAGTAAAGATCTACCTATGTACCGAATTTTAAGTAAGCCCAGCTATAATTAACTTTTTTTAATAAGCCAGTCCCTGGCCCATTCCTGTTGAGAAGAACAATCTTTCTGTTAATCAAATAAAAAAGACACCTATGCACCGAATTTGATGTAATTCACTTCCCGGAAAATAGAAGAGTTTTCTTATAAATCCAAGCAAAAATACACCATTGTACCGAATTTCAAGTAATTCGATCAAAAAAAAAAGATTTATTTGAAAAGGTCAGTCGCTAATACACTTTCGGAGAGAAGAAGAGTCTGTAACGAACGATTTGATCAACACGTCATTAAATTTGACTAACGACAAAAATATTTTCCGAATGCTCTCCAATATATGCAGCAAAGCTCACAGATTTCGTTTTTTGGTCTTGTTGATCATCAGTAGCCGACGAAAAGACACGTGATTCTAAATATAGCACATAAATACAGAAGTGAATTCTTTTAAAACAAAATATAAGAAAAAGAAGAAAACTGCACATTTTTTTGCGAAAACTCCCGCTGTGTTTCCAACACATTTTTTTCATCCGTTTAATTTGCATTAGCATCCAGAAGCACTTCTCGCGTATCACAGCGCTTCAGTCGGTGCCTGCAAATACGCTAAGTGTGCCTATAACAAAGTTTGCAGCGCACTCCGTCACATGCGTTCCAGAGAGTAAAATGCAATAAAGGCTGCGCTCTGTTTCTGTCCGTGTTGAATTTTTGGATAAATTATTACAATGGATACTCAGCGTATGCTCTGTAAAGTCTTCACTCGGCTCACAGTAAATTTCTCAGCCGTGACGACATTGGGCGTATTTAAAAATATCTTCTGTATTGTATTTTATTGTGGTAAGCTTGTCATATTTGTTTTATTTGATTTAAGAATTTGTCTTGTTTAAATCTTAATACTTTTGTTTGTATAAAGGCAAACGTGTCACCTACGTAGCGGGTATTTGTGACGATTGTATCTGCGGTGATTTAGCTGGTGAAAGGTATAAAGAGTACGTAAGTTTAATTATTGAGAACTTCTATGGTAATCATATATATTAGAAATCATATTCAGTAGCTAACTAAGAGTTCCGTTTCCGCAAATTCAATACTCGCGGTGGCCAGTCTTAACTCAATGCAATGTACTAACGCGTTCGCTTATTTAAGATACAATAGTATAATAATAAATAAATCTCTATGAATGGGCCTCTCCCAAATATTTTTATCAAGATGCTAGAGCAAAAATACAACATTTACGATAATTCTAAATTTTCATCCTCTTGTAATGCATTAATGAATGTCAAGATTAAGAACTTAGAATTAGGTCACAATTAATGTTTAACATGTCGAACAGTGAATTGAATCAATAAACATGAACTCTAATTAAATTTGTGGTTTGTGTAATGGTTGGTTAGGATATCGAACTTACGGACAGGGGAGGACCGACAGAACAGAATGGGAAAAGATTTTGAGAGATATAGGCGTGGGGTGAAATAGGGTTGATGGGGAAAATGCCCAATCTGGGGGCCGGCCAGGGGAAACCCTGGTAAATTGTGCGATTGGGAAGGGACCGGGGAAATTCGACTACATATGGGGAGGGGCAATCACCAAGACTGAGGAAATGTTGCGTGGGGAAGGGAAGATCATTAGTTCTGTTCATGAGAGAGGGTACGATTATTTTTTTTATCTCTAAGAGGAGGCATCATGTCAGTGAGCATCCAAGCCAAACCCAATCCGGCGAGCTAGGCCACACGTCAGCAAGCGTACACAGATATTTCACGCTGCACTCGCGGAGATGCTTAAAAACCGGTAAAAATAAGAAATGGCTCCCAACGTGGTACGCCTAAGTGGATACTCCACCAAAATATATATATATATATACATTTTATGTTTTGAGAATTGCTTTAAGATTTACTCGGACTCAGTCATGTATAGATTAAGGGACTTAGGAATTCCTTAAGGTAGCTTAGTGGGCTAAGTAGCAGCTACACTAAATGCGCAGGAAGTGAATAGAGAGAAGTATAGGGAAAGTTTTCCAATAGGTAGCTACTAATGATTCCGATGAATGGAAAGAAATGGAAGTATTATGAGGTCCCCCAAGCGAAATAAATGGTGTATGGTACCGACGCAGCGTGAGAGAATAAAGGAAGCGCTTGAGGTAACGCGTCATTGGGGTAGTTATAAGTTATGGTGCAAGAAAGTCTAGAGAATCAAGGTAACCGAGTGATTCCATCACCAGAAAGGGCCACAGAAGCACAAATAATATTGACCGGGAATGATCAAAGACGTTCGAGAGTGTGTTAGCAAATGTGAAGTTTCTAAGTGCTGCTAATAACAAATAAAATTTCACTACCACTCATGGACAAACGAGCCAAGACTGAGAGCATGTTCCAACGGCTCTACATTGACTTCTGCGGACCATACCCACGTTCAAAAGATGGAAATTGTTATATTTTTGTCGTGTTAGATCACTTTTGGAAATGCCTCGGATAGAATCAATAGGTCGATGCTGGCAATCATCCGGTCATACATAGAAGAAGTTGACCAAAAGTCGTGGGATGCTTTTGTGACAAGAGCAGTGTTTGCTTTCGTAGTGCCACAAATGAGTCTAAAGAGATGGAGCCTTATAAGGCAGTGTTCGGCCATGCCATGGTAACACACACGTATAATCTCCTAAGGATGTTGGGAGATGTCGAAAAAGGTGACACGCAAGTGATACCGACTGAGATAAGGCTAAAGCTGTTGAGAGATAAGATTATTTAAAACCTTAAGAGCGCATATGAAAGAAGCCGGCGCTCCTATAACACTCGAGCCAACCCTATTGTATACAGTGTTGGCCAGCAAGCCTATAGAAGAAGTTTTCGTCAAAATAACGCTAAGAAGGGATTTAATGCTAAATGCCAAGTTTATGAAATATAAAAATTGGATAGAAAATTGTTTGTACAAACTAGTCGACACGAGAGGTCAATCCATGGACTTATATCACGCCAAAGATATAACACTTTAAAGAAGAAAAGATGGGTTCGCACCCCAAGCATCTAAAAATAGTTTGAAAAGAATAATTTCAAATCCTACCGTCTCTCGAGCTCACAATGATAAAAATCATCGATGAACTCGTCCCGTAACTAACGATTTGATTACCAAGTCATAAGATTTTACTAAGCGAGTGAAACCCTGAGAACTCCAAAAACATCCGACCGCTATCCAATATTAGCAGCTAAGCGCACAGATCTCATTTTTCGGCCTTTTTGATCATCCGCAGCCGACGAAAAGATACGACTTTCTAAATATAGTATAAAAATACAGAAGTATATTCTCTTAAAACCAAATATAAGAAAAAGAAAAATACTGCACATCTTTTTGCGAAAACTCCGGCTGTGTTTCCAACACATTTTGTCATCCGTTTAATTTGCGTATCAGTCGGTGCCAGCAAATGCGCCAAGTGCGTGTAGTCTTCCAATTTTTTTAAGCCAAAATCTATCGTGTACTGAATTTCAAGGAAATCAAACCAAAATTAATATTTTTTTCGAATAGGTCAGTCCCTGCTCCATTTCGCGATATTATTTTTCGTAAAACCCCTCCTATGTACCTTTCACAGAAATAATCTGACGAATTTTCAAGCCATTCGCAACTTTTGGAGAACACACGTACCGCGGCGGCAAAGAGTATTATTCGAATAGCTCAATCCCCGGTTCACTTCGCGAAATTTTTATTCTTGGAATAGGTCTGATCCTGGTCCACATTCCGAAATATTCTTGTAAACCTTTCCAGGTATCATAGAAAAAACTTTTCTCACCTTTTAACCCTTCCTTTCCCAACGTAAGATAAATTCATTCAACCGTTCTCAAATTTTAGCGAGACTAGAAAAATCTATTCATTTTTATATATATAGATTACCTCTTCTCATGTAATTTGCTATTCCACAAAGATTGCAATGCAGAGTTGGTCGTGCTTTTATCTACTTGTCATGTTTGTTACTTGTATTGGAAACTATATCCGAAAGAACGGACTTAAGACAGTTGATGTTTGCTGTGCGACGCTTTCTACCTATTGGTTTAATTATCTCCAAAAAGAAAAAAAATTCATTAACTCAAAGTATATATGTTTAAAACCTCATAACTATTTAAACAAAGTCTGCTTAAATTTTTTCTAGAAATCTTCTCTAATATTTAGGTTATAAATTGACATAATATTATACTAATTTTAGCATTAAAATCTATGTCGTCATTCATACGATTGTCTAGTCATGCCACCACGACCCGATTGCTCCATCGTTTATATCTCTTTGAATGCAAAGTAGCTTCGTTGTGCTCCTGCTTTAAGTCCATCATTCAAGAACTTAAGAAAATGAGAAACAAATAGGATTTGGATAAGTACTGAATACGTACTTTTACTTAAAGAAATGTAAATATGTATATATTTATGAGCACGAGTTAGATAATATAATATGTTTGCTGTTATACTTTTTTGGCGTTACATCAGCAAATGTCATCGTCATTATTTTAGCTTTCAATTTCGGCAGCATAAATTGTACAAAACTAATAATGTGCTCCCAAGCGATTTAAGAACAAATTTCCACCATATGCAACATAGATCGTTCCCGCGGGACACTCTAATATTTGAGCGATTTCCCTTCTTCGTAATATGTGCTTTTTTCTAGCGCTATGTTAGAGTATATAATGTGCGTTTTTTATACTTACATATTTACAATCTGTATTGATTGTTTGTATTTTTGTATGTACATATGTATGTAACGATTTAACTTAAAAAAAGATTGTTTTTTGAAATTATCCTTTTACTTTTCAAAAAATACTATCATTTTATTAGTATATTTTCTCCAGATTGGCCTATTTCTGAATTTTGTAAGACTTAAAGTCAAATAAAAGAAACGAGTCATTGGATTTCAAGATGTCCTTCATGAATAATAAAACACGGTTTTGAATCTTCTGCTTTTTTATGCTAAAATAGTTATCTTCCATTGTATTCGTTGATAGTAACTCTTCTTTGCAATTTGCTTGCCTTATTTTAATTTTTATACAATTTTGCCAAACAAATTATGGCAAAAGCATTTTTCAGCTATTGCAAATTTATGCGGTATCTAATGGAAGAGAAAATTAATTCACGTCGAGCATAGGCAAAATCTCGGCTTCACGCATGATATCGAAACCGTTGTTGTATCCTCTTTTTTCGGAACTACAACATTTAGCCACTAGCTACCTTCACCGGCGCTTAATCGCTGTAAGAGAAACGAAGCCGGTGGTGACTATTTCAATAGCATCGGTGAAGGCATGCGACAGTCAATGCTCTGTACCATATACCCTGCATACAAATACAAACACAGACACATGTCCACCACAAAGGTGGATGGTTTTTGACTCGGTACAAACTTAAGTAAAAGCCATTGTATTCGACAATGGTTATATATTATATATACTGTAATATGTTAAAAAAATTAAAACCATTATGATGCAATTAGATATAAAATGACGAATGGGTATTTGATGGCTATTTACCAACGAATCCAAGTAATATAATAATAAAAATTAAAATAATAATAAAAATGATAAATATAATAATAATAACAGTAACAATAATGATATTATTTAAATTAAATTTAATAGTAAAACAAATATTTATAATAACAGCTAATAGTATTTACATAACCCAGTTGCCAAACAAACTAAATCAAAAAGAGAACAAAATACCAAATATCTCATTTTTAAGCAGAATAAAAAATATAACATGTTTATATACATACTTTGCGCTTGTAAACGCTGAAACGATTTTCGGCCGAGCTTCACCTCCAATCTGTGGTATGCGTTTTGATTTTTCCCAACTAATGAAGAGATGTTCAGTTTATTCTCAGCCGCCACCGTAATAAACACCGGTTGCTTGACACACCCTGCCCTGGAATGACCACAATGAGAAAATCTGAATTTCGAACATTTCCTATGTTGGTCTAACTAGGACGCGAACACTGTCATTCGGAATGGTAGTATGCATCCCTCGGCTA